ACATATTAGAGGGGTGGGGATAGAGTGAGAGTTCACCCCCGCCTTATTCCGTATTAGAGGGGTGTGGATAGAGTGAGATTTCACCCCCACCTTATTACATGTTAGAGGGGTGGGGATAGAGTGAGAGTTCACCCCCGCCTTATTACATATTAGAGGGGTGGGGATAGAGTGAGATTTCACCCCACCTTATTACATGTTAGAGGGGTGGGGATAGAGTGAGAGTTCACCCCGCCTTATTCCGTGTTAGAGGGGTGGGGATAGAGTGAGATTTCACCCCACCTTATTACATGTTAGAGGGGTGGGGATAGAGTGAGATTTCACCCCGCCTTATTCCGTGTTAGAGGGGTGGGGATAGAGTGAGATTTCACCCCACCTTATTACATGTTAGAGGGGTGGGGATAGAGTGAGATTTCACCCCGCCTTATTCCGTGTTAGAGGGGTGGGGATAGAGTGAGATTTCACCCCGCCTTATTCCGTGTTAGAGGGGTGGGGATAGAGTGAGATTTCACCCCCACCTTATTACATGTTAGAGGGGTGGGGATAGAGTGAGGTTCACCCCACCTTATTACATGTTAGAGGGGTGGGGATAGAGTGAGAGTTCACCCCCGCCTTATTACATGTTAGAGGGGTGGGGATAGAGTGAGAGTTCACCCCCCCTTATTACATGTTAGAGGGTTTGGGGATAAAGTGAGATTTCACCCCTTCCTTATTACATGTTAGAGGGGTGGGGGAATATACAAGATTTCACCCCCACCTTATTATATGTTATAGGGTTGGGGGATAGATTGAGATTTCACCCTTTCCTTATTACATGTTAGAAGGGTGAGCATAGAGTGAGATTTCACCCCTTCCTTATTACATGTTAGAGAGATGTGGGGGTAACAGAATGAGATTCACCCCCACCTTATTACATGTTGTAGGAGTGGGGGATAGGGTGAGATTTTACCCCTGCCTTATTCCATGTCATAGGGGTGGGATTTAGAGTGAGAGTTCACCCCCACCTTATTACATGTTATAGGGGTAGGGGAATAGACAAGAATTCACCCCCATCTTATTATATGTTATAGGGGTGGGGGATAGAGTGAGATTTCACCCTCCATGTTATTCCATATTATGGGGAGATGAAATAGCGTCAGATTTCACCCCCCACCTTATTACATGTTATGGGTGGGAGGCAAAAAGCTGAATTGAAGGGAAACTTGGAACAATTTGGGGACTTATTATCTTGGGGACCATCTTCTCTTTTCTCAGAATTAGATTAGACTGGGACATTGCCTGCTGTCCCGACCCAGGGGACAGTCAAACAGGTTTTCCTGAGGGAAGGAATGAGAGACCGGATCAACCACGCTGTGTTACAACTCTTCAGGGCACGGAGACGACACAGTGTTACAACTCTTTTATTTTTTATTTTTGCCAGACAGACAGAGAGAGACAGACAGAAAGCAAGAAATCACCCCCCGGAGGGATGGTCACGCCACAATCTCTTCTCCTCCATTCTCCTCTCAGGATCTTGGGCACGCACGCACACGCGCCTGGCGTGAGTTTTAAGCCACTGGGTCCAGGACGCGAACCGCGGTCGACTATGTGGGAGTCCAGTGACATAGCCATCACGCTAACTGCTGGTCCCTAGTGTTACAACTCTTCAGGGTTGTCCGGAGACGACTCAGTGTTATAACTCTTCAGGGTCTTCAGGGTCGTCTGTAGATGACATGGTGTCACAACGCTTCAGGGTCATCTGGAGACGACGTGGTGTGATAACTCTTCAGGGTCTTCAGGGTCGTCTGGCGACTGTGGGCCAGGGATGGTGTTTATATACATGCTGGTGGGCAGCGATTGGTTAAATGAAAGATTGTAAAAGGTGGGTTATGATTGGTTGCTTTTGTGGACTAATCATGAGGTGCCAGATATGCAAATCTGAGGGATTCTAAGCTCACTGATTTGCTACTGGAAGTGGCCAATCAGAG